TGTCCTGCTAATATTTTGCCCTCTAGTGCTATTACCCCAATTGGACGTAATTTATCTGGCTTGTCCGGCTTTTTTCCCGGCTTTGGGAGCCAAGCTATCTGAGAACTTGTCAGATGGTTAGGGAGCAACTCCTTCGATGTGTCTTCCTCCATAATGACAGCGACTCTCTGCATTGCATTCTGGGAGCAACTCCTCCAGGCTGAAATTGGTGCTGAGTTTACTGGCACCGACTTTCCAATCTTGATGCTCGATAGTTGCTCTTGCGCATCTTCCGCTCACCCGCTGTGAGGCTGAGTTGAGAGTTTCCTCCTGTTAGAGGAAAATCCGAGCCAGAACCGAAGAGTTCAGCTGAATACTTTGTTAATTCCTTTATCTCCTCTGTTTTCTTGAGGAAACGTCCTTGCGGGTCTCTCAGCTGAACTTTCTCTTCTGGTTTCCACTTCTTGAATCTCTTGATTGTTTTGTACAAGGAATGGCCCCCATCCAGCTGATGTTCCCTTAGGGCACTTTCCAGTGCAGCGTCAAGTTGCTCTATCTTCTGCTGTTGTTTAATTTTCCGTGAATTTTTAGCCCGAGCTCTTGCGGACGCCAATGACCTCCACTTTTGGAATGCTATTCTCAGTTTCAGGTCTGGAAGAAGATCTGAAATGGCCGTAAGAGTGCTCGGAATGTGCTGAATTGCTCTTTCGGCTTTCCAGTGATCCACGGCTCTGACTGAGTGCGGCGCAGCTAGTGGGTATACCTCCTTGGCGGCATGATGCTTCGTTGAAGGCTGGCCATGTTCTGGGATCACTTCTTTCGATGCACTCATCTATCTTTTGTGTTAAGACGTCTGTGCGGCCTGAGCCTGTTCTAAAGTCATAATCCATAGCCTGGCATTTTCTTGTTTGAGTTGTATCTTCTTTCGTGGCAGATCTGACCTAAGATAGGGAGATGTCTGCTGCCTTCCCTCCAAGATGCTACCTGGAAGTTGCGTACGGGCTTACATGACTTTGATTGGCCTTGGGCCTGACTGATTCTGCTGATGGCAAAGTCAATTTGCGAGACACTGCATCCTTGGAAATGTGTAGCTGGCTTGCCTGAGGCCCAAGTGTTAAGCGCCGTCAGCTGATGCTCTTCTAAGAGATTGTGAAGCGGCCTGACGCTGCGGAGCTTAAGCTTGGGACCTCTGAGTGTGCGTGGCCCAACATGCCTCTTGTCTGGGAAAAGGGGAGAGTTAAAATCGCCTGCGACCAACAACGTGTTTCTTTTCGGGAGATGATTGAGCTGCTTCGCAAGTTGATCAATCAGCTTCTGCCGTTGTATTTTGTTTGCTTCCGTGGTGATGGTACTGCGCCATACGAATTGATACACCGAGATGACATCCAGAGAAACTGCTTCTCCTGGGACTCTTACATGCAGAATTCTTCCGGGTTGCACTTCCGTGTACCTAAGACTCTGTGCCTGGCAGAGGGTTTTCTTTACCATGATTGCCACTCCTGCTCCTTTTCACCGTTACTGCCAAAGGAGATAACATGCCAGCAATCTCTCGTGAACTGCGAGACTCCTCTCCAGTGTGCATGATACTTGACTTCGTCCTCCAAGGGCAGAAAAGGACATTGTTCTCCCTTTGTATACTGCTGTCCCATTCTCCTCAGCTCTATGAATGGCCCGTTGATGAGATTTTTTAGGTGCCATTCTGATTTTGACTCACTACGACGCTGTTTCGCTAATCCGTTTGGCTTAGCTCCCGCTGGTTGCGCACACCAGCAACCCTCCCCTTTCAGAGCCAAGGCCCTGCTCGGAATTGGGACCGAGCCACTCAGAATGCTGACACATGTGCCATTGCTCGCAAGGGAAAGCGGGACTGTACTACCCCGGACCCCTACGTCTGAGCTCGAAAGGCTACAACAACAACAACAACACCAACAACAACACCAACAACAACAACAACAACAACAGCCAAATTACAAAATTAATCTTTAGTCCTGGTAGATTTCAAGCTTCAATGACTCGTGGGCACCATGTTTCTGGCCACTGCGCAGGAAGGGCAATGGGAGTTGGGCCTGGACCTGCTCAGAATGATGAAGGTAGGAGGCAGGAGCACCCTTGCATGGGATTTCACTGCATTGATTCCTTTGTCCCTCCAAACTTCAGAGGTGGCAAGCCCAACAATGTCAATTATTGCGGTGCCCTCAAGGCCTTCAAGAAGCAACTCGGTCTGAAATGAAACATTGGCGGATTTGAGGAGGAAACTGCCAGATTTTCGACACTCTGATCGAACAAGAGTGGCTAGAGAGCACACCGCATGTGAGACGAGATGCATGAACTACAGGCTTGGGCGCTGGCAAGTGGCTGCGCTGCTGGCAAATACTTCCTGCCTTCTGGCAAGGTGATGAAGCGCTTCAACGTGCAGACCTGTCCTGTGTCCCTGGTGCCCCACTGTTCCCACCTGCTTCAGCCTATACCTGCAAGGTCTGGCAGGCTGTGTGGTGGCCACTACAAGTACGATCAGTGTAGCTGGGTTTGGTTAGAGCAGCATGTTTGTCATCCATGGGTTAGAGGTGTTTGGGGGAGGTTTACTTCGAATTTTTAGAGAGCTTGCCATCGTAAGGCCATGCAGAAATTGGGAGAGTGGAAGCACGCCTATGATATGCTGTGCAACGCTAGAGATGACAGCATGCAGCCGGATGGCATCATGTCGCCCGGTTGCAAGACAGCCCCTCCCGGCAAGAGGGCTGTGGCTGCTGCTGGCACAGGTTGACGGCTGCTGTGGCCACAATGAAGGACACCTGGCAGCTTGCCGGGGCGACGCTCTTCGCGTGCCGGGCTGAAGAATTGCGATTCTCCGTTCAGCACAGAGTACTAGGTACCACGGTCGGGCAGCAGTAGGTGGCTCAATTCCCTGCGTGAGGTGCTGGACGACTCGGCTGCGGAAAAGCATCGTGGCCTTCAATGCAGCCTTGGCTGCCCTCGAGAGCAGCTGGCAGCAAGCGCTGAAGCTGGGCCAATCTTCGTGGCTTGCGGGGCTCCGTCCAGATGCTGCAAGCTTCGATTCCCTCATGATTGCCTGCAGTGCCTCCAACTGGCAAAAGGCCAGCGTGTGGATGCCTTCGAGAGTTGCTTAACTAACAGCTTGCCTGCCACTGAGGCGCTGGATCTGTATGCTTTCATGGAAGACTTGGCAGCGGCTCGAATGCCTGTTGGTGTTAGAATGTGACATGTGGCGAATGCCTGGAACCAGCATAGCGGTAAGCCATCGCCTGTTCTTGCCTTGAAGCTGTTGCCAGCAAAGCTTACGGGGTGGCCCTGACATCATCATTCACAATGCTGATTATTCGAGGTGCGTCCAGGGCAACGAGCGGTGGAAGCGGCACTGAAAGCACCTTTGCCTGTGCTTTGAGATGCAAAGGGCTGTGTCTTGTTCAGTCCAGGGCTAAAGACAACATTTTTACATCAAAGGCAAAGGCGTGTTGATTGTCACAAACATCTTGAAGCTCTGCTACGCATCCAACGCGTGAATTTCATGGCAAGCCACAAGAGTCAAGTCAACACCCTGAAGCAAGCTTACGAAGAACGCAGCCAAGAGCAGATCCAGTATCCACCCTAATCATTTGGACCAGACCTGCCCGTTAAGGTTGCTCCCTCACCCGAGCTGCTTGCTGCGCTGCCCCGTCTGGCATTGCGACCGGGCCCTGCGAAGGTTTGAGACTCATTCTGCTCTCTGCTTCCAGATGTCAATTTCGCAGTGGAGGCTGCAGCAAGGTTGTGGTTGATAATTGGCTCCTGTGAAGCGAGAACATGCGAGGAACCGTGAACTACCCACCAAGTTCCGAAAGAACGCATGCTTTTGACTGTGTGATCATTTCTTTTAGCACCGTCACACTTTGCAGCAGGCACCAGTAAGGCACTAGTAACTTGTAGTTCCTCGTTTGGGGAGGATGTACAGGATCCTAGAATTGCAGCAGGCCAAGATAAAAGCTCACCAAGCCGCTTGGAGGCGCTGATCGCTGCTACCCCAAACACGCGTGGAGGAGTAAAGGAGGTTGAGGCAGAGCGGAAAGCATAGGTTGAAAGCATGGCTTGGCCTTATTACCGTGCTTTCGAGGTGGACGTTCAGCTGCTTCGCTTCACGTTCGGGCCTTGTACTTCATGGCCTCATCCGCGTTCCTCAAATTCATAGCCTGGCATCAGTACTGGACACTTCCCTGCTTGGCTGCTGGGTATGGCGCGTGTGCGCTGAGGCAAAGCAGCATCAAAGCAAGATTCCACGGTGGGCAACATCTGAAGGCAATCGCCATCGCGCATTTGCACTTGCTTTGGCTGTCCCCTTTCAGCCCCTAGGCCAAGATCCGTGGCCTGCTCCGAGGGAGCGAAGATCCGCAAGACTCCTGGTTCAGACTGACAGTGGTGAAGTACGGCGACCGACCCTTGGATGAATGGCAAGAAGTGATTTGGATGGGATGATGGAATGAGGGCGACCAAATTCTCCGCTGGTTGTTTGCAGGACTGCTGTGTATGAGCAACCGGCGTCTATACTGCCTGCATCTCAGAGCTGCCAGAGAGCATTCTCTTGAAACATCTTGCACTCCAATCCAATCCAACCAACCCAACACCTGCCTGAAGGCTTGCAAAGCTACAAGATGCAAAGCACCCTGTGGGACGGTGGCTGGCTCAAGCAAGTTGATTAACAGCAGCGTTTTTATCCAGAGATGCCAGTCAGGCAAGGTTCGTGCTATCATTCTGGAGTGGCCGAACTTTGAGGAGAACCCAGCAGTCTTCGAGGAATTCGTGCAGCAGCTGAATGATGCAAGTGGATATCGCTTCCAAGAAGTGACACTACGCGAAGGTGTAGCTTCGTAACATCCGGGCGAGAAGCGGCCAAAACGTCCGAATCATGGAAGGCGTCCATACCATCACGGCTCTTGTGTTGTATGGCATTGCAATCAGCGATTTCCATCTCAATCACGTTCGTGTGTTCTTCAGACAACTTCTGACCGTTGACTGAACCGTTGACTGAGGCCGAGTATCAAGCTGGCGCCAAGATACTTGGAACTCGACCCGCTGCACTGCATGTTGCACAAAACTACAGGTGGACTTCTGCATCGTGGGATCTCAGAGAAGGGCCTAGAGAAATCGTTGGACTGCAGTTTGATGAGTTTAATGATGGAGCAGATTCTATGAAGTAGCGATGCAGTTCGGCCTTGCATAGTGAAGACGTCATGCTTCACGTTGTGGCGGCATGAGCTAGAGTTGCCCATCAATCTCAGGGCATTTCTCCAGCAGCTCATGTTCCAATCTTGAGGAGGGAACCCTTGTCCCATATGTCACTTGGATCATTGATTCTTTAGAGAATCCTTCCAGCGTCATCGCCGGTGCCAGTTCATGAGAGTTAGTCCTAGCAGCGCGCAAGGTGGGTTTCGAGATGAAAGTTAATATATTGAAATTGAATATCCCACCAGAAGGTGGGAATGGCATCCCAATGATCGGACCAGCCAAGATGCCTATATGCCGAGATCTTAGTGCTCGGCTCCAGTCTGATAGTCCCAGTTACGTCTTTGCTTCGCAGTGCTTTGTCCTGTCGAAGACTCAGATGGAGCTCGTCCTTCCTCAGCTTGGACATCCAATGCCTTGCGCAAAATCTTATCCTCGAAGCACGCAAGGAGGACTTTTCCTTGAAAAGCCTTGCTGTTGGGTTTAGGGGCTAAATTGCGCTTGCAAGAGCTAAGCCGAGCCGCACATTACGGCATGGAGACAGGGTAGGACGTCCTTTGACAGCTCCTGCTATTTCTGGACTTTGCCAGGGTCTTCCTGGATTCGAGCAGCCGCTGGGTACGCATTTGCGGTATCATGATGAGCAGCACTACAGAGATCCACGAAATGGACACATTTTTCTGGAAAGTATCGAGGTTTGTTTTTTAGATGCCCCCTTTTGTTTTGAATGTCTATGTGCATGAGCACACAGGACCAGACTGAACACATGCTGCTCAGGTTTCGAATTACGATAAAGGACTTCTTTGCCGAGAAAATGGTGAGCCCAGAGCTGAGGGCATCATCTTCTTGGAACAGATTTATGAGGATCTTGGGCAGTCAACAACAGGCTGGAGGTATCTCTCCAAAGTCCGATGTGTTGCTGTTCTTCCATGGGACTTTCAGCTCACGGCCTTCGCCGAGCTGTGCCCCCCAGCAGCAGCAGATGGATCTACCGCTCAACCGTTGTACCGGTGGCAGGTATGCCTTGGCAGTGCCGCTGCTCACACCAAGACGAGAACTCTTGGTGGAGCAAGCAATGCGGGTCCGGGCAAGGCCTTCCGGTGCCTTAGAGTTTGAAGGGATGCTCCAGAACTAATTGTCATCCGTCTTTGCTTTCGATCGAAACCGCTCCATTCTTCCTCTCATACGCTGTTGCTCATACGGGGTCACTGCCTGCATCTTGAAATCCACACTTCAAGTTTCACGTGAGCAGCTGTCAATATTAGGCTTTTTAAGGAACCCTTAACGGTGGACATAGGTGTCCCTCACGCAGTCCCGTGTCCAGTATTATCTGGGAAATATTGGTTGTAGCTCACGTGAAGATGAACCAGCCAGCTTTGAGGATGCCCCACTATCCCTTGAAGAGTCTCAGTCCATCAGCCCTTGACCCCAAACCGTTTCAGGCTTTTAGCTGAGATCCGGATGGACAGGCAAAACGCAATGAAAGAAGTGATCTCTCCAAGAAATGTATTCGGCAACCGTCTGGCAGACAACAGCCAAGCGAATGAAGTCATGGATAAGCGCAATATAACGCAACGAAAACAATTGCAAGTAATAAGGGAACACATGACAAACGGTAAGCATCGCAGAGGAGCAAAGGCAAGCTAGAGTCATGTGCTTCCATACCATGCATGGCAAGGCACGGTGTTTGGTTTTGGTCCGTGGATGACTCCATGGCTTTCGTTTTGCCCCTGACTCGGAAGCTGAAGGAGCATCAAGGAGCTTGCTTCGTTTTAATTGGATTCATTCCTCCCAGGCCGGAGCGCCGGAATGCCAGCCTGGGCCTGGCGGAGCCCTGGCTGCGAGAGCCAGGGGCCACGGAGCCGATGGCTTGATTGGGACATATGGAACTCGATTTTGCAATTATTTCGCAGATGAGGGTCTTCTAGGTCGTGTGGACGTGTGCAACGGTGGTTATTAGAGCGAGGCTTCGCAGTTGCAAATCAGGGGATTGGGTGCAATTTGTGCAGCTCGAGGGATTCGAGGGCATTTAAGCTTCAGGACTGCCTTCTGTCCTCTACGGTTTCCTAGCTCAGAAAAGCTGACGGAACATCTTGGTACGCAACCTGCTGATGCATGCACTGCACGTCCAGATGCTCTCAGCTACAACCTGCTGCGGGGTGGTGGAATCGGAAGAGGATATAACGGTATAATGATTGGGCTCGGCTCGCTCTTAAAGAGTGCCCAAAGACGTAAAGTGTCACGTGTCAGCTTTCGAAGTGAAAGAGTGCTGAAGACCACACCAGCCTCATGCTGTTCAAGAACACCAACGAACACTAAACAAAGTTTCAAGCGACTTCAACTTGGCAGCTACCTCACTTATGACAGCTGCTACCACAGGTGACCGCCTCCCCTTGGAAATGCAGAAACCTGCCAGGTTACTTCGGCATCGCGGGCTCGGCATGCAGCAGCGCAATTGGGCGCATGGGCAGCTCTGGCTGATGTGGCCACGTGCCTACAATGGGTTTGGTGTATTGTCAAGCAGAAGGACATGTCAATGTGACATGGCAGTGCGAATCAGACGCGTGTGTTGCTATCAGCAGTTTGCAATTCAGCGTGGCCGTATCTCTAGCTTTGGTATCCTTGATGCCTTTGCCAGATTGGGTTTCTTGAGTCTTGAGCACATGAGATGCCTTGGACCTATTTGGACCTGTAAGCTTCAGCTTTTCTCAACGGAGGGTCCTGAAGCATGTTGGTTGGGTGTTGCAGTGGCAATTGAGGGATTGCCTAGGAGCAGTTCGGCGGCTGCTTGCGTGTCTTGGCATGGCTTCAGCGCGACTTCGCGACATTTTTTCTTCCCTGCATTTTTTCGCGACATTTTGCGACGTCTACCGCTCGTTGTTTGGCAGCCTTTGCTAAGCTGGCTGAAGGCTTTTCGTCCGTGGTGGAGCTCGTCCAACTTGCTGCCTTGACTCCCTCGGCAGAGCGTCTCGACCCGTTTGGATGGTCAATGATGGTCAACAGCAGCTGTGTCCTAGTATGCGTGGAGGCTGGAGCAAGCCTGTTTGGCCATGCGAGCAGAATGGGAGGAACAGTGGTTCAGGAGATCGTGCTAGCTATTGTCCAGCTTGGCAAGCAAAATGATTCTTTTCCGTTGCAGAGCAATGCGCTTGCAGGACGTCGGCTGCATACGACTCAGCGCTGGGGCAGCTTCTGAGCGGTCGCAGCGAAGATGTAGCAATGGGTACGAAAATCGGGTGATGGATACTGAGCGCCTCCACAGGAGTGATGGTTGAGGGGCCTGATGGGAGCCCAAGTTTGTTTTTCGTGCAAGATCCTAACGGGGCATTGGCTTCTGCCTTCATTCTTCATTGCCTGCAATCGTTCTGGCCACAGGGACAATCCTGGCTTCGGGAAGCCGAAGCAGGCACATGTTTGCCCTGAGCTCTCCAGAGTCCGTTCTTTTGTTGCTCATTTGGAGGGCATTTTGGGCAGGAGGTCGTTGCCAGAGCTCTAGAATCGCCATGCCAAAGCAAATGCTTCAGGTGACGGTGCAGCGGACTCGCAGGCCCCTGCTCCAGCTTCCGTTTTCCAGGTGGACAGCTCTCCAGGTTGATGGCTCGAGGTTTGTGTGGGAGTTGCTTCCTGAACAAAAGCTAAACGCGAGGCCATGAGCTAAATATGCATGTATTGAGTTTGGCGGGC